ACAAGCAAACCCACACGCATTGTAAACAAACATACACACTCAGCTAGATTCAAACGGCAAGATACAATTTTTGCGGCACATTTTTATCTGCAAGAAACGTTCGCTGTTTTTCTCTCTTTTTATCTAAGAAATGCGGCAACGAAAGGCAGACGGCGAGAACGGCAACAGCAGCAGCAGCCGCGGAACATAGTTTCAAAAGGGAACCGACAAGAAACAAATATGGCCATACATTTTCTTAAGCCAGCGGTTGCTCTCACTCTCACTCTGGCTCTCTCTCTATCTCTCAATGTTACTCTCAATCGCCGCAGCAGACATATTTAAACATCGTAGATGAGCAGCGCGGACAGCGTTCAGCGGAAAATAGCATTACGTAGCTGTGTGGCAATTAAAGTAACCAGTTTGCATTTTTGAAGCCGCAACATTTGCCTTGATTTTCGGTTATGGTTACTCTAATTGCGGAGCAGGTACGTCAGCAAAATGTGACTGCTACTGCTGCTGATGCCGCGGCCATCGTTCCTTCTTTTTGTGTTGCTTGTTCTGCACACACTCACGCATACTCATGCACTCTCTCATACACGCACACACGAAGCGCAGTTTTCATTTCGTTTTTTATTTTTATTCTCTTATGAATTGGTTAATATTTTTTTGCATATATATTTGTGATTCCGTTTCACTGTGTCAGCACTGCATTTGAACAAAATCAACGCAATTCGCACTCAATGCACATATTTCATTTCATTTGTTTCAACAAGCGGCTGCGACACCGACGACAGCAACGGCAGCAGCAGAGTTTGCGGCGTCAACGGCGTCTGCTGGCCGGCGACTTTTTGGGCGTTGAAATTATTTCACATGCATTATTTTTATAAATTTGCTTGGCTAGTCAGGCTTTACGTGCACTTCGATGTTGCTCGGTTGCAATTTGATTTCTTAATAAGCGCCGATTATACGGTTTTTATTTGTTTTAAGCGACAGCTGCACTTCTTAAATTTTAACACCAACACACACTCTTATACAAATCGTGAACGCACCCAAAACGCGTCTTTCTCGTTCGCTGCTACCAGCACGAATGTACGATGATTGGTAACAGAGACACGGCAGAGCTAAAGCTAAGCATTTCGATGGAATGTTATTAACAGTGTGTATACATTTTGTCCTGCAAATAATCTCTTTACCTGGTGAAATTAATTTGAAAATTTGTAATTACAATTCATTTTATGGAACAAGTTGAATGTTTGTGGAAACACACAATGTATAATAGAAAACTAATCTGAACGTCAGCATCATTGACAGCAAACGGCGACTGCATTTGAATTTAACAGCTGTTAACTGAGCTGAGAAATTGTTTACAGAGCAATTACATATTTAAAGTTACTTTATCGATAAGTGTGTGGGAAACTGTTTTAAGTTCTAATATTACCTGCTTAATTTTTTTTTTTAACCGCAACGAATTTCTTTGTGATTAAAACTAAAAAACTATGCAAAATAAAAACAAATATTCGATAAACATTTTGACTACTTATCGGCTGTCAACAGCCAATTGAACAACTTGGCTACAAATGTTGCTAAGCTAACTGTTATGTTAAACTCAAAAAGCACTGTAATTCCAATCTGAAGCAAACAAAAGCGATGTTAAGTATTCGTTACCGATAGAAATATATTATTTAAAGTTATATAGCTTTAATCTAGATATATATTAAGACAAATATCTACAGAACTATGTGGCATATTAATTTTTTTTAAACAAAGATCGATATCACGTTTTAGGGTGGCCCTAATTTGTAGCGTTGCCGCCACATCGGCAGTTCCCGTCGATTAATATTTACGGTGCAGTGTCATATGTTCATATCGATTGTGTTCATCGCGCGTCTGCAACTTGCTGGTCGCATCTCAGTAGTGCGACTAATTAAATTTAATACAAAGTCAACGAGATAAATTAGTGCCACACATTCCAGTGGGCAACACATATGGAGAGGAAGCCAGCACAATAAAGTAAATGAGCTAAATTTAAATTTATTGGCACCACAAAAACCAATACAAACACACAGTCACGCAGCTTTGCATGAGTGTGCGCGCGTGCGACTGTGTGCGTATGCCAGTGTATATACATGTGTACATAACATACATATGTGAAGTTTATAACGAAGCGTAGTTTAGTGTGGAGGCGCATTTTACGTGCAGGGCATACAAAAAGTTCGTAGGCGTTGGAGCTTCGTCAGCACCGGGAGCACATTAGCAGCAGCAACAGCGACTGCGGCAGCAGCAGCATAAAATCGATTCCCAGTGCATGCATTCAGTGCATGTGTTTGCGTGCGTGTGTGTATGTGTGTGCGTGAGTGCGTGTTGCAAAGCAGAGCCTCACGCGCCTTTCTCCCTTGCTGTAGCTAAACTAACAACAAAAGAAATATAAAAGAAAAAATTCCAACAAAAATCTTGGCAAAAATCTCGCGTACAATCTGTGAACGTGACCAGTTGCTACATCTAAAAGCGAGAGAGAGTGAAAAATACAAATTGACAGATTTCTTACCTTGTGGCATGTTTTGAGCCAACTTGAACCAGGTATGTGTGCAATCAAATATCTAATTTAAGCAGTGTTAATAATATGATGATGTTGCTGTATATAGAAAAAAAAATGCGCGCCCATTATTGCTATATACGTATGTATACACATACATATGCCTGCGTATATACATTTGTATGTACAAGAGAGTGTTGTGCTAAGTGTATGCTTGTGTGTGTGTGTGTGCCAGTAATTTGTACATAACCTCAATAGCTCAATTGATTACGCTCGGCGATAGCGTTTGGTAAAACAGGCGTCTCATAGCTAAATGAAATTCCCTACAAGTGTTATTCATTAATTATTATTTAATTAATTGTGCAAAGCAAAAGCAAAAAGGTGGTTGCCTTCGCCTTTGTACTATTTCCGCAATTCAACTGCATTTGTGTACCGAGTGTGTGTGTGTGTGTGTGTGTGTGTGTGTCTTTGAAAAATGTGAACGTAGACATTTTGCCTATAGAAATATTTGATAAAAATGTGTATATAAATATGT